AAAAATATAGGGAGATGCTACGGTCCCGTTATGGAACCATTCCGTTGGTGTTTGTAACCGTTAGATTAGCTATCCTCGACGGTTACATAATGAACAACGGTCACAAACCCCGACGGAATGGTTCCGTAACGGGACCGTAGCATTTCCCAAAAATATAATCCAAAATATGAATTTTTTACATCTCTTTACATAAAGTACTTCAGATTAAAAAATTTTGGGCTAAATAAAAGCTCATTATGAAGGGACAGAATTGGGCTGGACCATCAGATCCTAGCCCACTTGAGAAAATGGGGATGGTCGATTATTATTACAGGCCACGTATGTGACCAAGTGCATATGCAATTTATGTCCCAAATAGGAAATTCTTATATCTCTAAAGTACTATAGAATATAATTAATTTGTCTTAATACTAGGTTCTAAGTTCTAACATAGTGGTTGATAGTGAAATATTTCAAGCATATAAATCATAACTCATAAGTATAATTTTATATGATACGATTAATATCCTACTTTTACCTAATAAAAAACATTATCTATACGATAACTTTTAAACTATGTCATTAATGGCACCCTTAAACTAGAATTAGGGTTAATAAAATCATAAATTGAGTCGTGCGTCGCGTTGCGATGCGACTCGATTGAATTATTTTTGTACATAAAGTGTTCAGTTCGGTTCGGGAATTTATATGTTTATGTGCAATTCAATTATTGAATATAAATTATAAGCAATTAAATCATGAGTATAATTTTATATGATACATGCGACTAATATCCTTTACTTAACAAGAAACATTATCTATGCAGAAACTTTTAAACTATTAATTAATGGCACCCTTAGACTGGCATTATGGTTAAAGAAATCGAAATTGAGTGGAATAATGCGTTTCGATGCGACTCGATTCAATTATTTTAGTGAAGAAATTTTTTGGTTCGATTCACCCGTTAAGTTGAACATGTAGAAGAATACATGTTTTGGGATTCAATTCACCCGACCAATAAATCATGTAATATCTTTTTTCTTTGTTCAGTCTTAGCTTCTAACCATTGTGATGATGTAACAGATACCAACGGTTGTCCGATACTGTTGAGTTACAGAGGCTCTGCATATGTTGTATGATATTTTCTAATTTTATGAGGGCATATCAGCTCATATTATGTCGTCTGGTGTTTTCCAGTTGTCAAAGTTGGGAGGGTTCAGTGCGGAATAATTCGGACTTGACCATACACGATTGTGTCCAGGCAAAGAGAAAGACGGGGAACTCTTTATTTTTTGGGTACAACTACGTACGCCCCGTTTTCTGTCAAGAATTGTTACGTTCGTGGGCTAGCCTCACCATCCAACCTATGTTTTTGTGTTGGATCAGCATAAGTTGTTGAACCAATGGAAGTTTTATGTAAAAGGGAAACAAAATTAAATAAACATGCTTAGGAAGATAAAGTCTTATAATCGTTAAACAAACGGAAGAAGGTTTGTCCCCTGATGGCCTCCTCCGATGTGTGCGAGAGGCTACATTTCGTTATTGTCTAAAGTAGCATGGAAGGTCAGAACACCGATCTGACTCCTTGACCGTCTTCATCTTGTGCAAAAAAAGTTTAGTTCAGAGAATTTTTCCCCATATGCAAAACTAGATTCTACAAGTTGCATATGAAAAATGTATGTAATTGTTATGCTTTTGGACTATCATTGTCTAATACTAACATTCATGTAGCCTTTTGGCACTAATTAGTTGCAAGAATACGTTGTTGTTGAAAGCATATAATGATCATTAGAATTGAACATTTAAATTTTCAATTCTAACTGACTACAAACGGAAGTTAAATATTATATGCACTTTAAATATTATATGCACATGTTAAAAGGCATTTATATTTTTCGTGAATCTACTTGTTCATTATGAAAAATGTTAAGTTGTATATTATGCCACGAAGTCACAAACATCTCCTTTGGAACTGGGTTGCGCTTCCTCGATCGCCGGTACCTGCAACACACGTCAAGGGTAGTCACGATGTGGGCACGCCGATGCTCAAGTCAGTAAGATGTTCGAGAAAAATGGCAGAGTATTGAGATAATGCATATGTGTATGTGTATGTCTAAAAATAATGAACATATGCCCTTTTTATAGGTGGGGTCATGTATAGGTTGAAGACTACTTGTTGGACAAGAAGTCTTTTTGATGTCTGCCTCTTTTAACAATGAGTCTTTCTGATGTCTACCTCTAGATTAGGTCAGATATCCTAGATCTTCAGAATCCTTATTGCTACAAACTTCTTCATGGCCATGCCCTGGTCCCCGCGGGAGAAACCTTTGGTCAAGGTGCATAGGTGGCCACATCCGCCCGACTCACCAACCTCTGGTATTCCGCATACATAGCTTATCTGCCTTTGGTATTCCTCCTAGCTTACCAACCTTGTGTATTCTGCCTAACTCCTTCCCAATATAACTGTGACTAAATTCGGATCACGACCGGTTTTCGTCGAAACCCACGATTCACGGTTGTATAAATATATGTCTACCAAAATAAACATCTATCACGTAAAGTTTTCCAAGCACGCGGTTCAAACGCAAGTTGGTCTTCTCAATTGGTATCATGAAATGAGAGTAAGACCCTCAAGATGACCAAGAAATAACACAAATGAATTTGAAATGAGACCTCTATGGAGCCTTCTTCTAGCATGGGCATTGAAGAGCTTGGCGAACTCATCACTGGACATATCAAGGAGAGCATCAAATTCGACTCCCTTGAAGTTGAACTTTTTTAACATCGCCCAACCGCCAACTCAGTCATGTCATCGTCATTGTTGTTGTGGTTGTTAGCTAACAACATAAGACTCAATAATTCACAAATATATAAAAAGTAAATCGAAATTGTAATAACATCACATTACTTTTAGCATCTCCTTACGATTCAAAATGTAACACACAAATGTATCAAAATTGGGTCACTATTGATGCATTACTATAATCATTTGGGTGAGTTGAGTGGTGGGTCGATCCATTATCTTTGTCTGACAAAAAATATTCTAGCATTACAAAATATCATTTTTACTATATTGTTTTTAAAATATGATGTTTTAGTTTAAAAGTATCAATTTTTTCCACATAAATGGATAAATTTTCGTATGGATCAAACTTTACTGGGTTATTATGGACTAGAGACTATTTTTACAACCACAAAAAGCAATAAATATTTGGAAAACATCCTGATGGTGTGTAGTTAGTAAATGCTAAATCTTTACGCATAGTTATAAATTAACATAGGTCCGGCTGTGTATGATAAATAACTTATGTTCCTGCAAATAGTTCCTCAACATTCTATATCTTTTTAGAACACAACAACATTCTATATCTCCTACACAACTAGCACAAGTCTCCACCATAAAAGAAAATGAAAAGTCTGGTAGTGCCAATATTGGATTGGTTTTCATTGCCGCTTTCAATTTTTGAAAGGTTACTCAACATTCTATATCTTTTTAAATATTTCATACTAGAATCGGTTACTTTTAGAAATTTGCTTGATTATTGAGGTCAGCCAAGTTAATACTGTGCTCCTTTCTAGTGCTGGTTTGATTTGGAGATAACAATATAGAATGATTAGTGAAGTCAAAATCCTGAACTTTCTTTGTTAAAGATTGGTAGTACATAAAAACTTTTATTTTATTATCGACTACATTGCGTGCACAGCCGTAACCCGACTAGTATATATATATATAATAATGTTAGAGATCTTAGTTTATCTTCAGACTAATATAATTATTTAACACCATTAGACCCACGCTAAAACATGGCGAACCTGGCTCTTTTGTATGCCAGATCAGTTGGCGAACAGGGAAAAAAGGCGCAGCCATAGTTCGGCGTCAGTTCTGGCATCTGATCGTTATTGTTCCATTTTCTTTCTCTTTGAAAAGTGGCAGGAGCCACCACTATGCAACAATGATGAAATTAGAGCATTGGAGTCCACCGATTTCTCCAAGGTTCAGCTTCACCGATACAGGTACCTACAGTAGAAAACTCGCAAATTACTTTTTTTTTTGTAAATACAAGATATTATTAAACTTTTCAATCCAATATCCAACATTGGCATGATTGCTACGAGTGAATGACATGAGAATGAGAATGAATGATGTTTCCCTTACTCATTCACTTTCTCATATTCATTTCATTTTTCACTCATTCCATTCCTATCAAATTCCATTCCACTATACAAATAATAACATATATGTTTAACAAATAAATTGTGAATTTTCATATAAAACAGACAGAATATTGCTAAAAAATATTATCTTTTTCCTTATTATCCGCTAGCCATTCCCAAAACATGCATTAAATTAAACCATATAAAATTCTCAAATAAAAACACCAATAGAAATGTCAATACTAAGAAAGGAATGAACAGACACCATATTTTCTTTTTTTTTTTTTTTTTGAAACGACAGATTTTATAGAATAAAAACAGATAATTTCAACTAGACATGAACAAGCCAAACGACCATCACGCCGAATCTAGCGAGAGGACTACACACCGAAGTGCATCCTAGAAATAGCCACACTAACGCACCCACTACACACCTAACTAAATATTCTCACAAGGAGAAAATCAAACTTCTAAAGAGAAGGATCACACTTCTAAAGAAGAATCACACTTCTAAGCAGAAGAATCACACTCAACGCACTCCTAGTAAGAAGAATCTAACAGTACCAACAACATCCAAACAACAAGAAACAAAACTAATGCATAATACTAGAGTAAACACTTTCCCCAACTGGTCGCACCCGGAGTCGACGGCCCACACGGATAAGAACCCAGCCCGAACATAGCTCCAGAAACTCCAGAGACGGCTAACTCGGCTAACTGAAACCACATCAGACGGCCAAAATCACCACCTGAGCGGACCACTCCAGTCCGGCAACCGGAGGTCACCTCATCAGACACCAATTAATAGAGAAACATTAAAGCATAGTTAAAATAATAATAATAACAACACATTCGTCAGTATGGCATCATTCACGACTTGGGAAGAACCACATAGGCGCTGGGAAAGACTTTCTCATGTTCTTGACATCACATGGAAAATAGCATGGAAACACAGTCTTGTCCACGTAATTGAAAATGCCAATGTCATGGCCACCAGTTTTGAAATTGTCAATCAGCACATCTTCCATTGCATCCGTGAAGTAAATGGAATTAGGCTTCAGCTCCGGGAACTCAGCCGCCGGTAACGCGACTGCATCGCTAAAGAAGCCGACAAAAAGAGCCCAACCACCCAAAGACGAACCTTCCACATACTTAAATTCCCCATCCTCAGGGTCATATTTATGAACATCAAAATCAACAGTCACACACGGAAGGCCTCGTTCGTAGGCAAAGGCATACGGGTCAGCAGTGTCAACATACAAACCATCAAAATCAAATCTACCAACCACATATTGAGTTACCACAAGAAGATCCTGCCCGGCCACTACAAGATGCTCCACTGGAGTACTCGTACGCCGCAGCTTCTTCTCAACTTTCCTTGTCCTCCTCTCATCTTTCCTTGTCCTCCTCTGGTAGCAAAATATTCCAACCTTCTTACTAACTCTGACCATCTTCATAGCCCGTGGTGACTGAGGGTCCCTAAGATCCCAAGTTTCCAACACACCACTATGTTTCGTTAGACTAAACAATGCTTCGTGTCTTGTCGAATAGACACAATCTTTGTAGCCTCGGCTGAAGGCCTCTCCCTTATTTTCATCAAACCAGTGGTGATCTCCGATGCGGATCCACTCCTTGCCGAACCCTGGGCAACAGAAGGCCAGCCCACGTATGTTATTATAAATCATCACGGCCCGGGAATTTGGTCCATCTGGGGAGCACGTGAGGATGACCTTGAATGCACGAGGGTAATTGGTGGGTGGGTAACTGGGCAGGTCGCCAAGGGAAGGCAGGTTTATCTGTCGACGGGAGATGGGATTATAAAGAAACAGATTGCGGCTTCGGGGGCACAGCAAAGCTAGCCAGCCGTGTGAAGATCCCGTAACCCACATGGGCGACCATGTCAATTCCTCTCTTTCTTTGCTGCTTTTACCTGTACTTAGGGTTACGATGTTGTTGTCGGCGATGCTGTAGAACTTGTAGCTCCTGCTGGCGGCGCCGCTAACATCAACGTCAAAGGCAGGCGGCAGCATTAGCCAAGGAGATGACGAGGATGATGATGGGTTTTGTGTAGGTGAAGGCGACAATATAGGCTCGGCCAACGTTCTCATGGCTTTGGAATAAAAGGCGGAGTTAAGCCTATACCTAAAATATTGGGCAGAAGAACAAGATCCAACCATCAATTTTCCGACAATCGGATAATTAGAAATTCCAGCAAACAATTTCCGATCAATTGGACGGCCGAGTGACAAGGTTGGGCTGAGTGACAAGGAAGAAGCCATCGATGGATAAACTGCGAAAATTGAGCAATCTCTGTTTCTGCGGATAGTTAGGGGTGATTAGTTTTTAACTAGTTTTTTTTTAATCATAGTTACTTTTTAAAAAATTTGATATGGTTAGTTGGTAGTGGATATATTAAAATAATAGTTAAGATAAAATAATTAAAGTTGAAATAATATAAAAGTAAGAGAAAAATGATTGGAGGTGATAGTTAAAATTATGTGAGTAGATGAACACTATTCTAAAAATCGGCCTAGGCAGCCCGAGTGCCTCCGATTTGCACAAATTGACAGAAAAAATCGGTCAGGCGGCGCCTAGGCGGCCTTGGCGGGCTCGGCGACCAGGCGGTTAGGCGGCGCCTAGGCGGACCTAGGCGCTTCTAGGCGGTTCGGCGGCAATTTTTCAGTTTTTTTTTTAATTTTTTTTTTAATTTTTTAAATATTAATTACATTATTTTGTTCTCATGTTTTATTTCAAATATATTAATTTTATTATTTAGACTTAGGTGTGTCGATTTATTAGAAGTTGAGATAAATTTATTTTGTAGGTAGTTAAAATAAATAAAAAATAAAGTATTTAATATTGATTTCTAGGCCCCGACTAGACACCGCCTAGGCCCCGCCTAGGCGCTCTAGGCGTTAGGCGCTGGTCGAGCACCTAGCAGGCGCCTAACGACTTTTGGAACACTGAGTTGATGTTATGTATAAGAATGATTGGTTGGATGATTGGTTAATATTATTTAATTATATTGATAATACTGAAGATAGTGCGTTGAGTTAAATTTGAGTTTTGATTGTTTTTTTTTTTTTAAGTGGATTGACAAACAGTCACACCCTTAGCTGCCCCCAAACGTTTATTTATAGAGAAAATTACCTCCTACACCAGCTAATTCATATTTTATTACATAATTAAAACCATTTTACAAATATTAGCAACATAGCAAGAAATCATATACTTATTTGCAGATTTCCCTAAGGTGTATTATATAAATAATTTAGATACATAATCAATAATTAGCAAAATTCACGGAAACAGTTCGGCTTCCAAAAAACCAAGTCTTTCTCCCACTCTCCTTCTTCTTCCTCTTCTTCTTAAACACAATTATCAATTATCTTCAATTTTTCAGAAAACCTAAGAAGGGGAAATTTATGATAAAAACAAAATCCCTCCCATGGTTGGCAAAAGCATACCGAACGGTGCCGATGCGGGTCTAACGTATGGCGCCATACTTCCCGAATATGCCATACATTTCCCCGCTCGTCATGTTGAATGGAAGGTTATAGACGTACAATACCCAATTGATCTCCGGCGGGAGGCGGGTGTTGCTCTTGTGGAGGCTGAGGTAGCCATTGACAGAGAAATTGTGAGGTTTTTTTGAGTTTTAGGGCAACAGAGGGATCATCGATGAAAACAACAAAAAGAAAAAGAGAAGAAAAAACTGAAGAAAAAAGAACGTGGTGGTCTGTTATGGTGGTCGGGTCATTGTGGCTGACAACCGGAGGCCGCGGGGGTCATGCCGTGGTGGCTATGACGGTCGCTAGATTGGTCGGATGTGGGCCGGAGGAGAGCTCGCGACTGAAAGAATAAATTGATTTCTGAAATTTGAATTTGTGGCCTAATGTATTTTCTGTATATTTTATGTATATATTATGTATATATTGACAAGAATTGATTTATCTTTTGTATATATGTTGTGTATTTTATTTATGTCGTCAGTATATAATGAGTATATCTTCTATATATAAGCCTAATTGTGTATTTTGTATGTATTAAACCAAAAAATATACTATAAATATACAGAAAAAAACACGAGATGTAAATAACAAAAAAGTAAACAAAAAGAATTTCGAAAATAAATAATTCTAGGTTTATTCTGTATATTTTCTGGTCTTATATGTATATGTTCTGTATAAACGCAATGGAAAATTAAATAACACATTGAAAAACCGAATTAAGGTACTACATTTTTTTGTTACGTCAAAAAATAAGTAAGGGACGGTTAGTGGTTATAACAACATCCTAATTAGTAGGTGTACATACTTACCATATATTTTTTTTAATCCTAAACTCTTATCCATGCACAAATTAAGGGACAGTTGCTATCTTTATTTGATAACTGATATAATAACTGATCTTTTATGGTAAATATGCAAATAAAATTTCACCTCTTGTACAAGTGCAAATACTTTAAAATCAGTAATGTGTAAGTGCAAATTGGCCTTATTTATATGATATGATATGATGACTAATACTTTCCTACTAATGGTGGCCACATGTTAATATGCCGATCTAGTTCTTAGTGGGCTTCTACCTCTGCTTCTTAGTGGGCTTCTACCTCTGCTTATGAACATTCCAGGCCCAATTTATTTGGTTTTTGTTTTGAGAAAAATTAACTTTTGACTAACCAAAACATATAATATTTGTTAAAACATATATATTCTTTATTTACAAACATTACAAAAATTGACATTAATATTTACATACATACCAAACTTTCTCAAATTTTAATTACATTTTTAACGACAATTATTAAGGTTGTTACATGCAATTTGTTGTACCACGAATTCGTAAACCATTTGTGTAACGCCCGCTTATTTATTTAAAGGAAAGCACGGATTTTTGAAAAAATTTAAATATTTTCTTTTTTATTAATTGTTTTTTTAATTTAAACTAAACGGACATTACTCAAAAAAACTGGTCTTTCTTTCAAAACATTCAGAACATAAATAAATGTTTCACAATAAACACATTTCGATAACCAAACCGTAATTCAAAAATTCAAATTGAATTTAAATTTAACAGAGTTTGCAGAAATATAAAAAACATAATTAATGATGACCATGCCCGTCCTCTCGTGTCCGTCGCTGGCTAGATCAACCTAAAAAACAAAGGGGTGAGCACCGTCGACTCAGTGGTAAAATTCATACTATGCATCAATTTAGCATAAACACAAATAGGATAATAATAATATACACATGCAACATCAACTGTCTCACTGCTTACTGATAACATCCCGACTTCAAGTCTCCAGGTAAATTCGGACTAGTGACTCTTTTTTCAAGCCTCAATAATTTACCCAACTGATTAGCTATTTACGTTGTTAACCTAAGTTCATGAACGTCGGTATGGCTACTTACTAGTGCATTCGACATCAACCGATCCCGCTAACAAATAACTCTACTAGTATCATTGGCATTACCCAGTCACGCTAGTAGAAAACTTAACTGATAATTACCCGGTGACCGCGCGTCGCAACGCGGCAAAATTAAAATTTATAAGTTTTCCTTAACCAACCTCTACTAACTAGTAGTAGTGGCAAGTAAGGGTCGATTCCACGAGGAGTGTGAACCAAATTGTGATAATCTTGTATTAATTGAAACTATTATGAAAGCAATAAAAGGGGGGATTCTGAATTAATAACTAATATATCTAAGAATGAACTCTAAACAATGAAAATAAAAATAAAATAAAACAAATAAGAGAAAATCTAATTCACGGTTTTGTCTACACCCTCGACCGACTCGTCTAATCGACTTTGGTATCAAATTTTGCTATCTTATGGAATTACTAGCCCTAGATAATGACACGGTCTGTTACCCGAATTTTTTCTTATTTTTAATCTAACCGCGAGACGCTCTACGATAAAATTTAACCTCTTGAACAGTCTAGGAAACGCTTCATAAATTTAATTCAATTAGCCGCTTTACGATTTAGAAAAATAGGCTAGACTAAGTAGCGAAATTTTCATTCACTTAATTAGGCCGTGTTATCCCCTGTAGTTACCATCTTCCGGTAGCCTCTAATTGATTAAACACATCAACAATTACGGATTGACAGTTTGAATCTAGCAGTAGATATGAAAAGCCTAATATAGGTGATCAATCTAAACAAGACTCAACATATCATGGTTAATTATTCAAAATAACACAAACAATTCCAAAAAGATTATAGAATTATCAACCACGAAAATCAATTAAACATCATCAAGTACGTAGGGTTCAACTTCTCTGAAACTAGAAATAAAAAACTACTCTAACATAATAAATAAAAACAAAAGAAAGATAATAGGATTATCCCCTTTCGTGTGCGGGTGCGGTCTCTCTTCGCAATTCGTCGGCCTCCTCTCATTCAGTCTCTGTGCGCGTGTTTTTTTCCTTTTTGCGTGATGTAGGCGGCTGCTTATGTTTTCTCATGTTTTCGTATGTGTGGCGGCTCTTGTTTTCCTTTTACAAATAACTCTTTTTGTAAAATAAATCCCTCAGCCAGATATATTAACTCACGCTGCTGCTTTCTTTTTTTTTCTCAATTAAATCATTGGCCAATTAAAATCCCTCAAGACTAAAGTCCTTAGGAGATAAAATAATACGCAATATAATCCTAAACCTCCAACCCGTCACATGAGTGCTTCAAAATTCTCCCAATTAGTCCTCCAAGGGCCCCACCATTATATTTGTCCAAGGCCCTCAAATATTGGGCTTATTTTGTTCATCCTTGGGCCCAAAATTGAGCATGTGTAGGGCTGAGTATGGGGCAGAATATGGGGTACCCTAGTACTGGCCTGCTTTCAATCCTTCTTCAACGTCTCGTCTTCCATAAAAATAATCCAATATCCTAAAAATAAAACATAAATATATCAAAACACCAGATCCATCTGAAGAAATAAATAAGTCGAAAAATATATATGTGTGATAAAATTAAGCATATAAAAATACGCTAATAAATATATATAATACACACTTTTTCCGACCAATCAAATCTCCCCAAACTTAAACTGTTGCTTGTCCTCAAGCAATTTATAACTATAAGCACATAGATGGACAAGAAAACAAGTACGTGGAACTTTACTCAGGGCCTCACAATTTCACATAAGTGCATAGTTCAAACAACTCAAATTAATTTATTCGGATTCAAGACGAATCCATTTTAAGAACTCAAACAATCAAGTATCAATTCAAGTGACCATCATAGTTTATCAATCTTTATGGCGAATGCACCGATCAAT